TTAGCAAGGATGTTTTAGAAAAGACAATATCTATTTACTACAAATAACTAACTTAACTTCTTTTCTTAATCTTCTCAAATTAGTCAACTAACTTTTATAATTAGGACCGGAGCTAGTAATTACTCCCTCCGTTTCTTATTATAAGAGACGAATAACCGAATTACGTTGATCAAAAAAGCAGTTAAAATTAGTTAAGAACAATCAATGTGTGAAAAATATAATTTTTTTCCAAAAATGCCCTCATTAATAAGGAGAGAGAGCATGAGAGAGAACAATTAAATTATTGAAAGAAAGAGAAGTGGGAGGGAGAGAGAGTGTGAGTTGGAGACAATAAATATGAGTAAAATAGGAAATCAACACAAAAAAGTAGAGACAACTTTTAAGTATCTCTTATATATAGGAACATGTCATAAGCATCAAATGTCTCCTATAATAAGGAACGGAGGGAGTAATTAGGAGCAACGTCCTTGTTCTTTAATTTCTAGCAGCTTCTCTTCTGTGAGTGCTAATTAATATTTTGTCTCATAAGAAAAAAGGAAATATGTGTCTTTTGAATGGCACTGAGAGAGTGAGACTGAGAGATCGAAAGTGATGCTCAGGTATTTGGATTTCACATAGAAGGCAGGTGCAATTTATTTCAATTTAAATAAGGTCACATACACCTAACTTGGTGACTGTTGAAAACAGCTAATATATGTCTGGGTTAAGATGCACATCAGTGTCATGCAAATTAATTTATGATTTAGCTAATATCTTAAAATAGTTTTTTACTAGCAATCATTATTGTAAAATATTTTTACTGCGATTTCCGTTAAAAGTATTTTCCTCTGCAATAGTGAGCACCTTAAATTTGAATACTAAATGCTATTGAAAAAAAATTTTAGGACGTTAAATGCACAAAAAATTATTTAAAAAAACTGTGGACTAATATAAACACTTCTTTTAACCGAGATTCGAACATTAATTTATCAAGTTACGAGAGAATAGTTACTTTTGCTAAACTTAATCCTATAGTACTACATTGTTTTAATGTAACAAACATCCATGTAAACTAATTTGTAAAGCCCAACACAACAAGGATCACAAAAATTTGGCTGATAAATTCAAGTTAACTGGCATTAAATTTGGGTTTTAAAAAAACATGATTGGGTCTTTGGATTAGTCCGGTTAATGTGTTCAGAGGTCTTGACATCAAATATAAGCCCGGTCTTCAATGTAGCATCTTTTGGAAGGATAAGGTTTTTCGAGGATTATAGTAGGGAAAACCATTCTTAAGGTACTTATAACTTTCTTTAATTTTTAATTTGATCTCTATGAGTTTTTCTTTGTTAGCACAATTAGGTTTTGGTACGTGGTCTGATAGTGTTAATAGAGCGAAATTATAGAGATTACTACTGTTAAAAGAGTAAATTAAATGATTTAATAAGGACCAAAAACATCCCAGGAATATTTCACAGTTTGGCCCAATGTACAACTCTATACCCGTATTTTAATCGGCCCAATGTTTTGGATTTGGGCCTCCATATGTAGCCCAATTCTAAAACCACACGTCACACTATTCAAATTGTTAGCTAAGATTGGGCTTTGTACCAAAATAAGCTAAGATTGGGCTGATTGTAATTTCAAGCCCATGTCTTATTTTCAAAAATATCTTGGTCCTTTTGGGCTTAGCCCTCATTGTTTTAAGAAAAAAGTATCTTATATTTTTACTGAAATTTTTTGGGTTGTAGCTTTGTTTTTTTGGTGTTGCTCTCCTTTCCCTCCCTCCCATTTGTTTTCATTTTTATTCATTATATCGAATATTATAATAAAGTTTTTCAAAAACGATAATGTGCTTTATTTTTGGGAGTAAGAGAACATGCTTCTTGTTGGCAGTGCACACCAACGCTTTAGCCTTTAGTAATGTCCTTAAAATTTAAAATTTTTTTTCCAACCATTCACTAATTTTTCTCCACTAAAAAAGGAACATAAGACAATTCAAAAAATTAATATATATGAATATTTGTAAAAGTAGTCAATTCTTTTTAGTCAAAAAAATTACTCACAAGTCAAGGCATAGGTACCAAAAACTCACCTTTTTTTAACGCAAACAATTTTCCGCCAAAAAATCTTAAAAATTTTAAGGCGGAAAAAGATCGACTGCAAAAAAAAATCCTGATTATTGCCATTTGCCAACAAGATCAAGGGCATTGTGGTAAATGTAGGAGGGCCGCGAGGGCTGAAAAATCGGGTCTAGTGAACACCGAGCGACTCAATAAGCAAAAGGACATCACTATCATCTTCATCTTCCTTGGGCGCTCTATCCTTTCGCTCAGAGTTCGCTAAACGACATGGCTATCCCGACCGCCGGTCTCTTCTCCAACTTCCTCGCCGGCGAAACGGCGTCCCTCGCTCGCCCTTCTCACACCATGTTCGCTCGCCCTCCTCCTACGTTGCGCCTGGTTCGAAGTCCCACTTCTGCTACTGTGTCTCAACCCCCTACTGGGAAGCAGCCTCGAGGTATCATGAGGCCTCGCAGAGTCTCCCCCGAAATGCAAGCCCTCGTTGGGGTTCCCGAAATTTCTCGAACCCAAGCTCTCAAGCAGATTTGGGCTTACATTAAGGAGAACAATCTTCAGGTGAAGCATCTCCTTCTTCTTTTTCTTCTTGATCATTTCTCTTTTATGTTCTTCAGGTGTTTAACTTCACCCTCTGTTTTCGAGTTTTAAGTACTCGTTGTCCTGAAAGGTGATGCCTTTTTTTAATATTCTGGTATTGTTTTGCGTGTTTTGGGATTTTTTTAATTCTGCCCTTTCTTTGCACATTAGGCGCTTTCCTCTGGTAATTAAACACGCGCCTTGCTTAAAATTAAGGAGAGAAAGAAGAACAGCATTTTTTTTCCTTAATGTAATGATTATACCATGTTAATATATTACTACCATTTGTTTTTTTCCCCCGTAATTTTTGGATTACAAGAAGGGTTTTCTGGTTCTGAAGAGAAATTCTATTTTATTGTACTAACCGAGCTAAACCTAATCGTGGTGGATTCTTTTGATGCTTCTGTATATTGACAATCTTATACAATGGCTCTTGGTTCATTTCTTGTATAGGCTCCCTATGCGAGAAATGAACCTATACACTGACAGGTGTATACTTAAATTGATCTTGTATGGGTTTGAGCCTCATTTTCCATATGGTTTCATTTTTTGTTGATGCAGATTTTTGGTTTATTGATGATTTTTATACGCTTTTTCAGTTAGCATCTGTCCTAGCTGCCTCTCCATTTTCCCAATCTTGGAGTAGATGTAGGTCAACGGAATGGTGGTATTTACAGTGGTGTTCCCATTATTGTCAACTTCATAATTTGATCTCCTCTTTAACGTTTTGGCTAATTTCTAGTTCTTATGCTGGTTCAAAAAAAAAAAAAAAAATAATTTCTAGTTCTTAGAACGATTGATTAAAGTCATACTATTGCAGGTACATTTCTGTCTAAGAATTCTTGCTCAATATCTCTAGTTATCTGAGTGGATTGAAATTACTTATTATGGGTGTTAACCTTTTTGATATTGTTAATGATGGCATTCAAATTTGTATCTTTATTTATTTATTTTTTGTTTGTGTGTGTGTGTGAGAGAAATTGATGGTTGGTTAGCTGATGAAGTTCAAAAATGCTTTCCTTTTGTGGGATTGGGATGTGCTCTGTTATTATATGTATTTGATATGGCATGAGTTCACTTGTGAATGGCCATATCATATTATATTGGGGGGTGCTGTCAAAGTTACTTGTCTACATGAGTCAACCGTATCTAATCTAATCTACCTCTTTCTAAGCCTTATGGATGCTTCAATGATTACTTGTTATGCAAGCAAGCTTGACTACTTGCAATTTGAACCTCTATTTTCCTTATAATCTCTTGATTGATTTGTGTGATTTCACTGAATTCTTTTGATATCCCTTTCTGTTAAGTTGATATAAGTATGGTTGACGGAGAGGTGCTGCAGTCATGCTTGTAGTCGTCTCATATGGTTATCTGATTGGATGCCTTGCTTCTGGGCAAAAGCAATGGATGATGTTTTACATTTTGATTGTTTTTTTACTAATGAATCGATCTTTTCATTCTAGTCCTAACTTGGTTGCGCCATCAAATTCTGACAGGACCCTCAAAACAAGAAGATTATCATCTGTGATGAGAAGCTGAAGAAGATATTTGCGGGGAAAGATCAAATTGGGTTTCTGGAGGTTGCCGGATTGATCAGCCCTCACTTCCTCAAATGATAGCAAGTGAAAAATTAGCTCTGAAGCTTGCCAATTGTTGAAGGGAAAAAACTGTGTTTTGTAGGGCAGGTCATATGTTTTGGCTATGGAACTAGTAGAATTTGAATATTAATTTATGTCCTGCCATTTAGTAGCCTTTTTTTTTTTCTTTTTTTTTGGTTGTTTCTTAACAGAACAAGCTTTGTTAAAGGGTTTTGCTTGAGCAATGTAGCTGTTTAACAGGCTGTGGTACTACCATGTAGGTTTCTACTTGACCTCATGGTTTCCTTGTTAGATCTCGAGTTGCTTTGTGCTGAAGATTTCGTTCTCGATTCTGGTTGCAAAAGCCAAGTAATCCAATATGAAGAGATAAATTAAATAAGCATGTTGGGTCTCTCACTTTATCTCTTTCGGGAAACCCTAGTGGAAAGATTGGGGAACGAAATTGATAAACTCAGCAGTTGAGAAGAACAATAAGCATTTCCTTTTCTCCCCAATTTGCTGCTGCATCTAATCAAAGAACATCTGTAATCATCCGAATGAAGGGTTGTGTGTGAACCTACCAACTGAAGTTTAATTTTTTGAGGCAAATCGAGTTCCAGTGTACTTAGAGCTCTAAAACAATTCGGAAAGCGAGAGGGGATAGACCATTGTCATCGTAAACGTTGTTCCAAGCTAGACCATTGTCATCGTAAACGTTGTTCCAAGCTATAATAACACTTTCTGTAAAGAAATGTAAATAGATAAAGTGTGAGGCTTATGCTTCTAATGCCTTTTCTTTTCAATGTGTTATAAACATTCGTCTTTATGAATGTAAAAGGTCTTGATTGTATAATCTTAGTCTGGAAAACGTTTAGTTGAATGCCTATAGCTTGGACAGCAACATGGCTAGTTCCTGATCAGACATCTTCACTTCTGAGTAAGCTCCCAATGATGCTGCAAGTCTTGCAGCTAATTGATGTTTGCACTACAACACACCAAGATATATGTGAAGCAAACAAATTACTTGAACAATTTTGTGAAAAGTTTATTATTAACTCATCTAATAAAAACACCTGCAAACTACTAAGTTTGAGTTTAAGGTTTTGCCAATGCAGAAGTTAGAAGCAAGATAAGCATGGAGAAGCAAGGATGTGGACTCACACAAAGCTGTTCTGTTCTGTTGACGACGTCATAGAAGAAGGAATAACAGGAGCAGAAGTTCTCAGGAAAACATAGATACTCCTCTTTTCTTCTGGATTCTCCCATTACCTGGATAACACACAAGTTCGAGTTGTCAAAACTCTATTCGACATTATAAGCATTCAACTACTACTATGGCCAAAATGGTTAAGGCTTGTAGGGAGTTTTTCAATTATTGTCTCGTTAAACGCAAAGATTTTGTTAATAATTCAGTAATATGGAATGTCAATATCAATATAAAATAAAGAGACAAAAATCTTATAACAGTCGAAACTCAATGCCATATTCGGATGTATAGAAATTAGCAAACAGTGATTGCCAACTTGAAATCAGCACACAGGCTGAATGCGCCTTCTCTGGGTGTACCTAATCAGACCATATGATGAAACTCTTTCCAAGTCCTTTCAGATATCCATAACCTTTAATGCAAAGTGACCAGAATGTCCAAATTGCTATTCTCGAAACCTCCCGGGGATGACTATGAATACGAAAATGGAGGGGAAAAAAATCGGATTATTCCTGAGTTTCCTGGCATTTCTTGGAGATAGAATGGGAATAATGGAATCAAACCTGGAAGATGGATCTTCCGCTGGGCTCCCCAGAAATCTTCTTGACACCTCTTTGATCCAAAATTCTGGCGGCTCGCTCAAAGTTCTTGCCAAATATGAAGTGCAATCTGGGTTCAAAAAGTAAATGAGTTGTTAAACACGAGTGAAAACCCATTCATTGTTCAACAAATGACTTCAAAACCACGAAACAAAAGAAATCTACTGACGTCCATAGATGATCATCGGTCACTGTGGCCAACGCAGTTCGATAACAATAATGCCGTGCCGCGTTTGACATGCATGATTGAAAAGCCAAAGTCAAATTTAGGTAAACAATCAATATGCAATATCAGCAACAGAACTATAGAGGTAGGGGAGAGAGAGGCGGACCTGAACGTTCTGACTCAATTTCCTTCCAGATTGCCTCTGCCACCAAATTGCTGGCGCTCATTTGCTTATGATCTGAGAAAGTGAGTGATGATTCCAAGAGAAGCGTGCTTTGAAAGTGGGTCGTGGGATGGGATGGATGGATGTTGGAACTTGGAAGCGTGAGAGGGGAATAGTGTCGGCGATAGCATGGGCCACAAACTGTTTGACTGAATGCCTGAAAGAAGAAGGGGCATTATATCCGTAAAGATGTTGTCACAGAGCAAGCTCGCAGGGTGAACCCCAGTAGCTTGAACAGCTACGGATATTGAGCCGTTCATCGGACTTTTGATGTTTGTTGGAAGTCGGCAGAGCATTGTATTACTTCCTCCATGCCTTATATGATATGATTTAGGGGATGTTTGGATGAAAACCAAACCATGATTTTAAAAGTGTTTTTATGGTATACGAGGTAATATGTAGAGGAGTTTATCTTGTTTTGTGAAAAAGTGTTTTTGAAAAGCACTTTTGAGTGCTTCCAAACATCCCCTTAAACCTATTATCACCTTTGATGAGATTTGAAACACCTTTCTAATGTTTCATTAAATTTTGTCAAAAAAAGAATCTTATATTTAAACCCAATCCATTATCATTAAAAAATTACATTTATGTCGGCGAAAAAAAAAACCATTTATGTCAATGCATTTGGCTAAAACAAATTACATTTGTGGCATAATGGCACCTATTCACCTCCACCTTGGCTAAAAATCCTGTGGATCTTGTAACAAGAAAAAACATGTTTTCTATCAGCAATTTTTGATGTTTAATTGGGTCTATCCTAAATTAAGTATACATGAGTATTTTTATTTTCACTTTTATTTTTTGCCAGCATTTTCATTTATTATTGAATTAAATACATTTACCTCTAAATTTCCTAACTTTGTCACCCCCCGGGGGGCCGGGGGGCAAAAGAAAAGAAATCATGACAATGTTTGTTGTTCCCTTTCCAGGGAATGGATTTTTTGGAAATTTTAAAAGTAACCAAATTAATTTCTGATAAACATGTCATTGTCCCCCAAAAAAAAAAATGAATTAGTCGATTTAGAACATTAGAACACATGTTTGTTCAATATCAGATACTAACACTTCGAAATTCACTAATCATTGAAATATAAAATTACTAGTTCAACGTGGATAGATATTTTTTTAAAAAAAAAAAAATAGTTTCGAGCCAAAAAATAGTTAAACAAAAACAATTTTAATATACACACACACACATATATCTATGGCAAAGACGATGGATGCAAATAATTAATTTTAATAAAATAAATCAGATCACCAAATGTCTTTCAAATGCCAGAATCATAGTTCATTATCATGACCCTGCTCTTAAATTACCACTGGTCATGCCCATAGAAGGAGATCAACATGATTAGAAATCAATCAAATTGAAATTTATTTTCTTACCATCTCAAAGAACCTGAGAAACAAAATTGAGATCAGCGACCTAAAAAAGAGAACTCAAACTATGTACATGCTTATTGGCATCAATGATAATTTTTCAGTAACCACTGTTACCATCCCTGAAATTTCATCCCTTCTTCCAAAGGATCCTCAGCCTGCATGCATGCACCTACATCACTCATCTTCATCCATTATTAGTCCGATGATATCATGTAGAGACATGGGAAGATCTATTCTTCAGGCAGCTTTAGGAAAGATACTCTGTTCCGTTTCATTTCTCTTTAGGGAGAAAATATCCATAGGAGCACTTATCGAGCCGAGAGCATTTTTGTTAACTTTGAAGGTGGACTTCTTTCGGTGATCAAGATACACTACTATAACAGTAATGTCATCATGGAAAAGTCTTCTTACTCCCTTTTTATTTTCTTCATGTCATTATATCTCATCTCTCTCTTCTTTGCAGCCGAATCAAGAGCAGCTCTTACCAATCTCTTGGCAATCCCTGATTGATCGATCCAGAAACACAAGTTAGATTCAATTTAATAACTGTGTAGTGCAGTTCAAATCATTACAAGTATAAAAGCATCTTATAGATAAGACAAGGAACTTACTGCTCTTGGATATTTGTACACAATCTGAACCGCTTCTTCATCAGTTAATTGTTCCCACAGGCCATCTGATGCAAATATCAGAAACAAATCTTGTGACCCAAGCTCCCTGACAATGACTGATGGTTCAGCTGTCATTACAGGACGTTTCAAAGGAAGAGGGTTGCCAAATTTCTGGAAAAAGGGTCTCTACAAACAGTCAGGGTTCTTGAGATACACGTCACCTATAGATCTTGACACCTGCAGAACAAAAAGGTTTAGAACTTCAGAATTTAGATCGTCTTCCCGGACCTTTTCATCACAGTTGCTTTTAAGAGTTGGAGTCAAACACATGCAATAAAAAGGTTAATATGTTGAGTGTTGATAATTTTTTGATAAAATGCTGGACGTACATTTAAGTTCATGACAACCATAGAATTAGGTTAAAGGGGACTAGAAGATTGGAAGGAAAATCGTAGATAACATGTGTGGAATTTAAAATCCCTAAAGTGAAGAGAAGGATAAACATATAATAATGTGTTTCATTTCTGACATATACGTTTATCTCTCTCCACAATTTAGTAGGAATTACATAAGAGATTCAAACTAGTACTCATTTACTCAAAATTTGTGTTATTTGTCCGCATTAACACTCTGATGTATAAGCTTTTATTTTAAAGCACAAAGGCTATGAAAAGTAAAGAATGTGAGATATACAAGCAAATGCTCTCGCTGAAACCTAGGAGGATATCAAACATAATGAATCTCTGGGGAAACAAGGGAGGGCTATTCCACGATTCTATCCATGACCACAATTCACAGCGGTTATTACCATTAGACACGCATGTCTGACTATAACGATCATGGACTAGGGCATGGTTGACTGTAAATAGATAACCGAGTGAGAAAGTCAATCTATCATCATCATATATTAAACAAAAATTTGATTAGGCATTTTTTCTAAAAGCATGTTTAGATAAAAGGTTGTGTCAGGAAAAATTAAATAAGCAAATCAACGAAAAAAAAAAGGCCCTATACCTGTATGATGCCTTTAATCCTCCAAGTTCCGCGACTAAAAACCACTATCTGTTCATCATCAGGATGAAGAGATTCGACCTCTCTCCTCACCTCCTCACATACATTATGGTCAGTTGACAACCGTTGTGCCACCACCGAATGATTGTGGGCCACCATAGCTCTCCGCCCAAGAACTACTCTAGAATCACCAAGGTTCGCAACATATAATAGATTGTCAGAAATTGCACCAACGAGACAACACGATCCTACGGAAGCAATTCGGGGACTTGTGTGCAACGATTTCTTCACCAAGCTCAAGAAATCATCCTCGATTGCATGAAACGCCTCTTTTATCACATCCACTGATAATCCCCCATTTTCAACGGAAAATTCTAGAAAAGAGTAGCAAATAACTAGTAAGCAGTGCTCATAGATTTTATTACAGAAAGGAAAAATAACTGCTCATGATCATACCACTGGACCACAAATCCCAACGAATCCACACAACAACTTCCCTTCAATTTACGAAAATTTTCTGAAATGCAACCTAATCAATCAAGGAAAGAGCAAATTACTTTGTAAATAATGAAAGAGGCGTTTGTTAACAAATCTGGAAGCTTCAGGACCGCCGTGGCCATCATAGACACCAACGTAGGTGGCGGAGGGAGAAGTAAAGACTTGGCTCTGATCTTCGAGGCTGGAATTGGCTTGAGCGACGGCGATGGAGAAATCACCAGAGGCGTGTGGCTTCAATTCCGAGTGCCAGAGAAGACCATCGCATTCATCCCCAAGCCCGCCAAAACAGTGTTCCAGCAAGCCATGAAACGAACGCATCATCATCATCTTCACGTAGATAGATAAACAGATACAATTAAATACTCATAAACTTGAGCTTGATGAAATCGAAAGGGTTTATATCTGTGTGAAGAATGAATGGTAAGGTTTTACAGAGGTAAAATAGGCAACGAAGAAATAGAAACCACGGGGTTTTAGGGTGAGAAGTCAAGAGTACAGAGGAAAGTAGGAGTGTTCTGCCGCGTAAGAACGAAGAAGACGGACTAAAGTGGCGCCTTTTATAGGTGACGCGTGCGTCCTGTATGCGCGTTGGGAACGGTTCAGTTCCCAAAGAAGGTGTCCTCATCTGGTGGTTTTGTTAAACCCCCTTCGGCTCCTGGTATTCATTTTTCTTAATTTATTATTATTATTATTAGAGTTTGGTCGTATCACCAACATGACTAATTTTTTATTCATGAATACAAAATTCATGATTTTTATGGATAACCACCAAATAAAATATTTGAATGCGAATGGTAATAATATTCAAATTGATATGTGGCAAATATGACAACGGAACCATCTATTTGGATCATGCTCTCTCTTTGTTTTTATTTTTTTAATTATAATTCACTTCTTTATTATATCTTACATTCCAAATCATAATCTCACGTTTACGAAAGATTTTTTTTTTTGGGTAACTTTTATGAAAGAGTTAGAGCCCCTTTGATTTAACTCTCTTGCAGACCCGTAATACTCCTCCGGTCCTTAATATAGGACCCAATTGTTGAGTTGGTATTAGTCCTAAATATAAGACCCATTTCTCATATTTATCAATTTTCTCTAAATTACCCCTATGGATACTCCCTCAACCATAATCAAGTAGAAGAGGGGGAAGGGGTATTAAAAAAGATGATTATGGTGTTTTAGGAAAAATGTGTCACTTTTCTTATAATTAACTAACTTACCTAACTTCCTTAATCTAATCAAATTAGATAAATGGGTCTTATATTAAAGACCGGAGGAGTAGTAATTTTAATCCCGTTAGTAATTTTTATCCCGTTATCGTTAAAGGCATGTTTGGTTGGACTTAATCATGATAATAAAAATTGTATTGGTAATCAAATTGCACATTTTTTTTTGGTAATACTTATTTCTAAGGAGGTGTGTGAATGTTTGTTGCAAACTATGATGCTTTGTAAATTGTCTATTTTATCTCAGAATTTTTGTTTACTAAACACAAGTATCTTCTTATTAAAAATAATCATGTTCAAGTAGCCGTTGAACACTAAATGTAAACATTTTTTTTAATAAGAATTGAAATTTTGCTGTATTATGAGAGACTTGCTGCTTTCTGTTGGTCTTGTTGGCTTACAAGATTTAGGCTAATTCGGTAAGACTGATGCTTCTATTTAGATTTTATAATAAAAAAGTTTATTAAGTTAGTTATTTGTAATAAATATGTATTGTCTTTCCTAAAATATTCTTACTAATCAAGTATATTGGCCATAACTATTA